ATCACCGTGGGGAGGGGGGCGATGATAATTTCCTCAATGGCTCAAGGGGGCGTTTCTTTCAAAAAGGTTAAGAACCACTGCTATAAGCCACACACAAATTTGCCTAAGATCTTCTTTGCCTATTTTTCATCAAACATGTGAGTACCAGTAGAGCAACTGACCCCAGCTCAAATCATGGCTGTGTGCAAGGTCAGCAGCCACCACTTGGCTTGAAAAGTAAACTAGTTGCAAGAAAAACCACCTAATAGGAGACAGTGCTAGAGCGAGAACAGTGAGCCAGTAGGAAAACAGCGTATCCATGCAAGTATGTGTGATGTAGGTTCACACTGACATGCAGTCACCAACTATATACAGTATTTAGTGCATAACTAGGAGGAGGAAGAAGACCAGAGAGAGCATACATATAAATGTAGATTTCAGAAGCAAATTGTTTTTCTTGTTAAAATAAAGCGGGGGGAAATAAAAATCTGGAAACGGAATAGGAAGAAACAGAGACAAAGAATACTCCTGTTCAGAAGAGATACTATACAGCATGTCACAAAGTAATTAAAAGGATTTAATCCCAAAACAGAAGAGATGCCAAAGCCAATGCATGAACTTATTGCCAAGTTTTTGTAAATGAAACAGCTCTTAGGCTGTTATTTTTTCCCCTTAATAAAAGGAAGGACCTTCAGCTACTGTATTTCCTCTGCCTAGAGCATATACTGTACTCTAAATCTAAAGATGCCTGCTTCTTGGGAAAAAAGCTATGACAAACATAGACAGCATCTTAAAAAGCAGAGGCATCACCTCGCCAACAAAGGTCTGCATAGTCAAAGCCATGGTTTTTCCAGTAGTGATGTATGGAAGTGAGAGCTGGACTGTAAAGAGAGCTGACCGCTGAAGAATTGTTGGTTTTGAATTGTGGTGCTGGAGGAGACTCTTGAGAGTCCCCTGGACTGTAAGGAGAACAAACCTATCCATTTTGAAGGAAACCAACCCTGAGTGCTCACTGGAAGGACAGATCCTGAAGCTGAGGCTCCAATAATTTGGCCATCCCATGAGAAGAGAAGACTCTCTGGAAAAGACCCTGATGTTGGGAAAGTGTGAGTGGAAGAGGAGAAGGGGATGACAGAGGACGAGATGGTTGGACAGGGCCATCTAAATTACCAACATAAATTTGACCCAACTCAGGAAGGCAGTAGAAGACAGGAGGGTCTGGTGTGCTCTGGTCCGTGGGGTCACAAAGAGTCTGGCACGACTTAATGACTAAACAACAACAATAACAAGAGCATATACTAGAAAGGACACTTACTTAAATAGTTAACAAGACTACCTCTGGCAAAGTTTAAGTGATTGCTCTTTCAATTCCTCTCAAACACCACACTTCACCATAACAACTACTCTCCATATACAGTAGTTCAGGTTATTCCCTAGCAAGCAAGGCTCTCCTGCTATTTGTCTCACACCGCAGACCAAACCCCACCTGATCACAATACACACCTACACAACACACAGCCAGCTCTCAAAGCCGAAGTTCCAATCTATCTAAATTCAGGCATGCTACAGCTAGAATTCTCCCTTCAGAGTGGTACACTTTAAATCCATGAAAGATGCCAACCCCTGCCTTTAAGGGCTACTAGAACCCTGTCCTCCTCAGACCCACCAGCTCCCCATACCCGACTAAAAAACCGCAGCTCCCTCCCCCCATTTAAATGCCAAAAGCACCGATCATCCCAAAAAGTTTTCTACCACATGGCCAGCCAGTCCTAGTTTTTTCAACAGACCCTCCGTGCCACAAGCAAATAACTCGAGCCACCCGACCTCACATCCGTTCATGTCAAGGAGGCTAGAGGTCTCGCCCTTCTTTTGCCCAGCAGCTTTCTCCGGCCCCCGTTCAAAGTCCAAATACCGGCCCCCCCATCCATCCCACAAAGAAACTCACCCAAGGCCCCAAATCCTGCAGGACCCCAGAGGCCGCGCTGGGCGATGGCCAAGAGGCTCCTAAAGCAGAGCGAGCTTCCCCCCCCCACACACACACACCTTCCTTCCACTCACCAGTATTTTAGGATGGCGGTGACCTGCAAGGGGTTGGGTTGCTCCGGGTAGAGTCGCCGGCACTCGCCGTAGATCCCGTGAAGCCCCGGGGGAAAGAGTGGCGGAAAGGGCCCCGCCGCGGGGCCAGCGGGAACGGGGGCCGCGGTCTCCATAAAGGAGGCGGTAAGGGGAGTTGGGGGGACCGCAGAGAAGAGAAGTTAACGGGCGGTAGGGAAAGTGTGGGGCGAGGGGCGGGAA